AAAAAAAAAGAAAACTGTTCTCTTAGGCTTCGAAGAAGTTGCCAACAATGTCTTAAGCCAGTGAACGAGGTTCAGTCCAGGGTGCCTCCACCAGGGTCAGTCCATAAGTGACGAATTCTGCCATTGTCTATCCTCTTTATTGGCTTGACACGTGGCTGGATTACAGGGGACCAGAGTTGGTCCCCGTTGGTATGCCCAGGAAGGGACGCCAAGGGCATTCACCCAGAGCAGAAGGGGGATGAGGCCAGATGGAGTGTCTGAACTCCAGAGACCGACTAGCCAAAGGTCAACTCTGTTTTTGAAGCCCTAGAACTTGTTTTAAGTCAAGAACATATGATGGTTCTCATTATCCATGAGTTCAAATCTAGATTCCAAGGCCCTCTATAATCTCCCTCCTCCCCATCCAACCTCAGCCCCAGCACGCTCTGCCACAGGCCGACCCATCTCACCAACAAGATTAGCAACCCCGCCGGACTCCTCCATCCTTCAACGGTCAGCTCATGCCTTCCTTCCTCGGTCCCCGGAATTTCTATGCACTTCTTGTCAGCACAGAGAACGGTCTGTGACTCATTGATGAGTGTTCTTGCCAACTGGACTCAAACTCCCTGTGGACGGGGGCTTTGTCTTGTTGCCTTCTGTCAGAATGCAGGCAGACAGCAAATTCATGCCACCTGACAGGAATCTTTAGCAAATCCTTCCTTCGCAGATGCCCTGCTGTGCTGCGGCGGCCCAGTGACGAAGTGGAGACAGCAGCAGGGAACAAAGGCAGAGATGCGGGGTTTATTGTTGGCGGGGAGGAGAAAGATTCAGTGAGGTGCTGGGATAATATATTCGAGACAAGAGGCAGCAGACGCCCCTTGGCCAGAGCGAAACTCCTCTAGGTGACTCTGTGGGCCACAGGCAGCTGTGACTTGCCTCATTCCCATGTGAGCCGGGGCCTTTCCCCAGCCTTGCAGGTTTTCCTTCCCTCCTCCTTGGGCCACGACAACCATTTGTCCGTCCGTGTAGTCCCAGGCTGGCCCAGATCCTGCCCTGACTGTGGCTGCTATCTGGAGATGGCTTGGGTAGTGCTGGGGCTGGGGCACAGCGGGACTGGCCCTGGGGATGTCAGACTTTGAGTCAGGGACTCGTCCAACTTGCGGGTCTCGGCTTCCAGGACGGTGGCCTCAGGGGCCTGGGCCACGGCCAGCAGTGAGTGGGAGAGGCTGTGGTGCAGGCCCGCTAGCTCACGGCTGGTCTGCACCGAGCGAGCAATGTAGTCCTGCCTCTGCTTCCGCTCCAAGGCCAGCTGGGCTCGCAGCAGGGCCACCTGGGGCGGGGGGGGAACCAAGAGTAATTAAGGGCCTTGAAGCTGCCCCAAGTCCCCCCCTGCTCCGCTCTTGGGGCTCTTGGGAGAGAGCATTTGAATCAACTACCACACACAAATCTCAGGATCAGGCTCTAGGGTGTTTGGGGCGAGGGCCCTTGGGAGTCACTGGAAATCCAGTGATTCTCCACCCTGGCTGCATAGGAGACTCAAGTAGGGACCTTAAAAACAACAGCAACAACAGAACTACTCATCCACTTTACTGAGGGATCATTTATATGTAATAAAGTGCCGGGATTTCAAGTGCACATTGTGATGAGTTTGATCATGTACATACGCACTTATAACCGCTATTCCGATCAAGATACAGAATATTTTAATCACTGCAGGAAGCTCTACTGTGCCCCTCTGGGAGCTTTTGATAAATACTCTGACTTAATTAGACTGCGGTGAGGCCTGGGCATCAGTATTTTTTCAAAGCTCCCCAGGTGGTTCTCATGTGCAGCCAGGGTTGAGAATCAGTGATGAGCCCTTGTTTCTTGGATGAGTACACTGAGACTACCAGGAGGTGGTTACTGGGCGCTCAGGGCAGGGCCAGGACTAAGGTGAGGCAGAGAGGAGCCTGGCGTGTAAAATTTAAGGAGCGACTCCAGGTCGACAGTGAGCATCTCCTTAAATTCTCACCCTGTGTGCCTCCCTTGCCTCACCCTAGTCCGGGCCCCATCTCAGGGCTGCTTCGTATGAATTCAAATTAATAGCCGAGTCTAGCTGCATAGTCAGGCTCTGCCAGCAGTGACTGTTAGTCTCTGAAACGGGCTCAGAAATAGAAATCCCACAGTTCTTATGACTCCCGGGCCTTGGGAGACAGGGTGAGCCTTCAGGTGAGGCCTATGAGGCAAGAAGGCCCTCGATCCTGGCTTTCTCGGGGGGGCGGCTGGAGCCGAGCTCTGAGGTATGGATCTTGGTGCTGGCGGCGCAGGCTACCCTGCCTGGTGTGTCGGCGACAGTCCTGCGTGCAGGGTGCATGTGAGGGCAGAGGAGGCCGGATGCTTGTGTCTGCTTTCCTCTGACCTCCCAGAATCTTCCGTCTGCCCCTCAACCCTCTTCCTTCTCCTTTTCCTTCCTAGGTAGGAACCTGGCAGTCTGGGGTCTAAAGCATGCTTTCTTCCTCGCTCCTACCCTAAGCAGATGGGAGGTTGAGTTGGGACTGGGCTCTTCTTGCCTCCCACACAGACTGAAGTTCTCTGAGGGAGGAACTATTTCCCGCCTCCCCGCTGGAAGGGCACAAGGGGTCAAGCACACAGCAGACACTCACGCCTTGTTGCCTGACTGCAAGGGAGGGAAAAGGGGCTTAGAAAGCTGATCCTTCTAGAACATACCTCTTTCTGCAGTTCAGCAATGTGCTTGGCATCTGAGGAGCCCTTCTGTCCTCCCCTTCCATCCTATGGAAGACAAATGCCACTCCTATTGGAATAGGCCTTCCCGCCCTGGGGGTTCTATAGGCATCTTCAGCCAGCTCATCCCAATCCTGGAGGCCAAGGTAAGGGCTATGGGCCAGAAGTGCCCGAAACCAGACTGGACTCCATAGGGTACCTTGACCCTTGGGCAAGGAAGCCCAGGAGGGCCCAAGCCAGCCTAGTGGATGACGCCCATGGAGACCTGATGCTGAACATCCAAAAGGCTTGGCTTTTGGCATTGGCTTCTTTGAGTCACCTTTTCATTTACAGAAGTATGCCACACATCTGCCTTGTGCCAGCCCTGGGCTGTGAGCTAGGGATGCAGAAAGGAAGTAAGACGAGGTGCCTGCCCTTGGGAAGCTTTCATAAAGGAAGGGGAACGGAGAGCTGGGAGATGCTCAGCCACCAGAAGCAGTCTCTCCCGGACAGGCTGCAGCACTGTTTATTGATGGGCATAACCCAGCTAAAAGAGTGCTGGTTTGGGGAGTCTTCCCCCAATTCCTTACCCCAAAAAGGGAGTCTAGTCCCAGGAAATACCATGGACTCTAATCTTGTAAATTCAGTACTACAAGGGAGGAGATCCGAGAGGCCCACAAAGCTGCTATCAGGATCGTAGGCACATTAGGTTCTGGCAAGCACCACCCAACACCCATTCGCCTGGGATTCTGACCAGAAGCCTGATGAGCCCCGCTCCTGGATGAGCCTGAGGCCCTGGTCTGGAAGCAGGGAGGTTACACACCAGGGAAGGCCTTCTGAGCTCCTGAGAAGGTAGGGCTGCAAGCCGTGACTCCATCCCCACCGAGGATGGGCCTCCTTCCTGGGTCAGGGACAGACTGAGCTTCGCAGAAGCCAGCCAGGAGGGGGCTCCCCGGATCGGCTCACATGGCCGTCTCCCCCTGTGAGGTAGCCTGGGACAGGCACTGCAGGGGGCTGTTTCTGGTGGCCGGATGTGGGCTCTCTGGAGGCTACAGTTAAGCCAAAGAGGCAAACCTGCTGTGTGGGGGGTGAAGCTGTGGCTTCCCTGACCTCCGGGACGCTGGGCCTCGATGCGCGCATGGAGTCCCTCTTCAGCTTCCTGCGCTCGCGCTCCACCTGCCGGGATGCAGGTGAGAAGTCAGGGTTTGGCTTGGCTCTGGGGCTGGAGCAGAACTGCCTTTTGCGAGAGAAGGCCGGTGTGGGCTCGGCTGCGGGTGTAGGTGTGAGCAGGGGACAGCAACCACGAGAAGCTAAACTGGGAGGAGGAGGGCGCAGGCCAGAGCAGCCCTGAGAGCAGAGACGCTGCTGGGGCGGAAGAGGTAAGGCCCGCCTCTCAGGCCTTCCGAGCAGGCGTAGCAAATGCTTTCTGTAGTATTTTGGGCTTTGCAGGCCACCAAATCTCTGGCACAACTATTCAACTGCACTGTTGCAGTCTCTCACGAACATTGCTTTTCAGCAAAAGGCAGTGCTGGATGTGGCCACTGGGCTACAGGTTAGCACTCTGCTCTGGGGGCTACATGAGAAGTGGAGATGCCTGCGCACCGGACCCCAGACGCGGGAGCTGGGGACAGGAGAGAGGACTCACCTGCTCCAAGGTGACCCGCAGCTGGACGTTGTGGCGCTGGAGCCTGCTCCGGTCAATCTCCAGCTGCGCCACGGCTTCCTGCAGGTGTTCCAGCCTTTGTCCCCAGAGCTGCCTCTCCTCCGTGCCGAGACCAGGCTCAGCCTCTACTCCTGACACCTGCAGGACAGACCTGGGACTCGCACCTGGCCAGCCCCTTAGACGGATGGGGAACCGATAGAGGACAAAGGGACCAATCTGGCAGGTCTGAGCTTCAGGGACCCAGTTCCCAAAGGAGGGGAACAAGCCCCTGGAAAGAAGCTTCCTTCTGGCCACGGTTCCCACCAGGCCCCCAGGTCACCTCTTCCAGCTGTGCACGTACCTCTTCTCTGGGCCCCCGTTCCGCTCTGCTGGTTGAGCTAGGGCTGAGGAGCCGCTCCTTCTCTAGAGCCTGCTTGGTGAGCTCCAACTCATCCTGGGATATCAAGGTGTGGAGCAAATCACACCATGGCAACCTCATATCCAGACCCACACTACCTTCCATCCTCATAAAAATCAGTTAATTTTCTCATCAGGTTATAGTCATTGTTCCTGGATACTCTGAGCTATTCTAGTGCAGAATCTTTATTTTACAGATGGACAAAGCAAAGAAGCAGAGAGGGGTCTATTCAAAAATACATGGTGGGCTAGGACTAAAACCTGACTCGTTTGAGATCTTCCATAAGCTAAGCATCAACCTGGAGCACTGAGGTGTTGTAGAAAGAGCATGGACTCTGGGATCACACAGAGCTGGGCATTCTGTCACTACTTACCGGCTCTATGACCTGGGTCAAGATATGAGCTCGCTCCAAAACCTAATTTCCTCATTTGTAAAATGACCACATGCTCCATGAAGCACAGATCAAGCCTCTGGGGTTAAATCCCTCCTGATGAGTGGGGACCCCAGCGCTAGATATTTTCTAGGCACCGTATGTCTCATAAATGATAATGGTCAAGAAAAGAGATAGATAAGAGGAAGGGAGTGTACATGGGTTTAGGTCGTCTGGGAGACAGGGAGCGCCCAGCAGTCAACAGGCTGTGTTCTGGAGTCAGACTCCCTAGATCTAGTTCTGCCACTGACTGGCCGTATGACCTTGGAAAAGTTACTTGGCCTCTCTGAACTATAAACTGGAGATAATAATTCCTACTTCTCAGGGTTGTTGTGGAAGGAAGCAAGAGTAACCGTGCATGGCAGGGAAAATGCTTAAAATAAGAAATGATAGCACTGCGATGAAGGGCTGCATCTGAAAGATGTTCTTGAGTGTTTGGGGGGGAGTGCAGGGGGACCTTGACCCGAGCTACGATACTGCTCGGTAACCCTCCTGCCCAGCAACAGACCTTGCTTGTTCTGTGCCTATAAGAATGAGCCTAGAAATAGGAAAGGAATTCTACTTATCGAATGCTTCCTTCCTATGCACTTTATATGTATTACCTCATTTCATACTCAAATGGCCCTATGGGGCTGGTACTGTCATTCCCTATTTTATGGAAGAGGAAACCAAGAGTCAGAGAAGTGAAGGCACTTATCTAGGGTCACACAGCCTATAGACTGTAGGATGGTATTGTAAACCCAGGAACTTGACTCCAAAGTTCACTCATGGATCCCGTTCTCTGCATATTGCTCCCAGAAGGTAAGTCCCTGCAGCACTGTGTGTCTCAGATGACGGAGGGGGTTCTCTGGGGCTCAACCCTGGTCAAGGCCCCATGATGTGGAGTCAGTTTCCTGGGAAAAATGGGCTGGGTTCCTCCTGGCAAAAGAGACAATGCCTCTCTATGGCCAAAAGTCAACCTTGCTTTCCTGACTGCCTACTCTGTGCAGGCCTTGTGCCCAGTGCTGGAGAAGCAAAGGGGACTAACACATGGCCCCTGACCTTAAGGTTGAATGCTGTACCCTAAGGTCCACTTCTCTTCTCACTCGATATTCTGCCTAGAGGAGTGCACCCGTCCTTAACTGCTGAGGACCCCAAGTCTCTATCCGTAGCATCATCCTTCTCCTTTAGATTACTTTACAGACCTGCCCCCTGGACGTCACCCCCTGCAGGTCCCGTAAGCCCCTCACTCCACTGCCATTCCGTAGTATTCCCGAAACCTGCCATTGAGCAGAAACCTGGGGGTTTGGTTTCCTTCTGCCCTTTCTTCACTCCCCTGTCTCTTAGCCAGTCAACTGCCAGGAGTCCTGTGAGCTTCTAGGCCTACCCCCACGTCACCGTCCACCCTTACTGTCTTAGGTCACCATCTGTCCCGGGACTTTGATGACTGCGTCCTTGTTGGTCTCCCCAGATCTACTGTTGCATTGGATGTGTCACCCTCCCCCACTGCCCCAAACACTTCATCCAGGTCCCACTGGTCACCCAGGTCCTTGACACGACTCAGAAGCCCTGAACGATGGGGCCCCTGCTGCCTTGTCTGTTGCCAATTGCCCCTCTGTGTCCCATTCAGCCTGAAGTCCTTATACAGATGGCCCGTGCTCTCCTCCCTCTTTCCTCTTCCCCAGAAAGCTCCTCCCAGACTTGGGCTTGGCTAATTCCTTACTGGTCGAATCAGATCTAATCTTAAACCCTGCTTTTACTGGTAAGCCTTCCAGGATTTACTACTAGGAAAGGCCGGCTGGGTACCCTCTCTGTGCTCAGAGCACATTAAACTTCCCTAATGAGGCTCTAATTAGAACCAGACACTGCACTCTAATTGCTTATCTGCTAGACTATAAGCTTTATGAGGGCAGGAACTGTAGCTGTCTTATTCTCTCCATATCTCCTCAGATCAGCACAATACCCTGGATTCCACCTATCTCCGCCCTCTGGCACCCTGAGGTGTCACAAGCCCAGGGTGGCACGAGGCCCCTGAGCTCAGCCAGACAGGCTCTGCCCCCCTTGGCCGGTACTACCCGTGGAGTGACTCACCTGCAGCTTCTGCTGTTCTGAGTCCCGCTCCAGAACAGAGGCCTGTAAGAACATGGCTACCTCCTGCAGGCTGCTGACGCTAGCCTTGCTCTGGGCCAGGGACAGCGCCAAGTCCTGGGCCTTCTCCCTCCACTCGATCTCCCTGGCCTCTGTCTGCCTCAGTGCTGCCTGCAATCGCTCCAGCTCATGCTGCAGCCGGGGTCCTAAAGTGTCAAAGTTTGTAGAGGGCTCCTCCGCTGGGGAGGCTGTGTGGTTGTGGGGTGAGTCCTCCAGATTCTTCCTTTGCTGGGCCTCCCTCAGCCCCACAATCTCCTCTTCCTTTTGGGCTAGAGTCAGCTGCAACTCCCTCAGGCTTTCACGAAGGCCCCGCATCTCTTCCTCTTCTCTCTCCCGGCCCAGAGCCTGGTTCTCTTGGATGGCATCTTCTCGGGCCCTCTGGGCCAGAGACTGCTCTAGCAGCTGCCCCTGCCTCTTCTGATGGCTCAGCTCTTCGTCCCTCTGGGCCAGTGCCCACTGGAGCTGCTGCACGGCCTCCTGGTGCTGGAGATCCCGGTCCTGGATCTCGCCTTCCCGCCTCCGCAGGGCCTCCTCCAGCTGCCGGGCCTGCGCCTGGCAGGAGTCCAGGGCAGCCTGCAAAGTGGCCGTGCTGGCCTCCAGGCTGCGGCTCAATTCCGCCTGCCCCAGCAGCCGCTGCTCCTTCTCCTGCAGGGCGGCCTGAGCCTTGGTCAGGGCCTCCTGCAGAGCCTCGGCCTGGTCCCGGGCAGTCTCCTCCCGCCGCTGGGAGGAGCGGCCGGCTGCCTGCAGGACCTCCAGCTCCTGGTCCCGTTCCTTGAGCATGGCCTCTGCCCGCAGCAGGCGGTCCCGCAGGCCCCTGACCTCCGCCTCGTGCTCCTGGGCCCGCTCGGCACACTGTTGCTGGAGGGCCAGCAGATCCTCCCCCTGCTCCCGAGACTCAGCCCTGAGGGCACCCAACACCTCCTCCAGGGCCTGCCCGCGCTGTCCCTCCACGGCCAGCTCATCCTGGAGCCTTCGCACATGCTCCCTGTGGCCCTCGAGCTCTCCCTGGCGCTCCCGCAGGTCGGCGTGGGCCCGTTCCAGGGCGCTCCGCAGCGCGCTTGCCTTCTCCTTCGTCGTCTCCTCTTGCTCCCGAGCCTGCTGCTGCTGGTGCCGCAGGGCCTCGAGCTCCTGGTCCCTCTGAGCCAGGGCCCTCTGCGCCTCTTCCAGGTGACCCTGAAGCGACTGCTCTTTCAGCTCCGCCCGTTCCCTGGCGTCCTGCAGACGCTGCTGCACGACCACCAGCTCCCGCTCTCGCTGGCTCAGGAGGATGCTGGTCTCACCCGCCTTCCTGTGTAGGTCCTGGAGCTCCTGCTCCAGCTGGTCCTTGCGCTCCCTCAGCTCTCCGAGGCGCTCCTGCTGGCACTCCACTTCCTTCTCCTTATCCCGCAGGATCAGCTTCATGTGCTCGAGGCTTCCGCGCTGTGCTTTACCCGGGCCCTTCCCCTCCTCTGCCCGCTCCGGTGTTGGCGGCCTCTTGGAGGCCAGCTCCCGGCCTCGCTCCCTCAACGACAGCTTGATCTGTCCCAGGTCCTCCTCCAGGATCTTGGTCTGCAGCGTCCTCTGGTCTTCCAGGGCCCGGATCCTCTCCGTCTGGAGCAGCATGTCCTGGTCCCTCCTCTCCAGGTCCTGAGCCAGACGCTCCTTCTGCCTCTGCAGCTCCTCGATCTGTTGTCGCTGGCACTTCAGCTCCTGGTCCTTGTCCTGCAGCTCTCGTGCCAGCAGGGTGCCGTGGCTCTCCAGCTCGTCGATCTGACTGCTCTGGGCCTGCAGCTCCTGGCTCCTCTCCTCCAGGTCCAGCGTCAGGTGGGTCAGAGCCACCCTCTGCATTTCCCTCTGGCCCTCCAGCTCCTCGATGGCCTTTTGTTGGCACTCCATTTGGTGATGGTTTTCCTCCAGTTCCAGGGCCAGGCATTCCAGAGTAACCAGCTGCTTCTTCAGATCCTGAATCTGTCCTTTCTGGGACTCTATCACTTGGGCCTTCTTCTCAAGTTCGAGAAGCTGATGCTCCAAGATGCTCCTCTGGGTCTCTCGATCCTTCTCGAGCTCTTTGATTTGCTCCCTCTGCACGACCAGCTTCTGTTCCCGCTCTTGGACGGCCAGGGGCAGGTGCTCTAAGACGGACCTGCACTTCTCCAGCTCCTGGATCTGTTCTTGTTGCACGCCTACCTCGTGGTTCCTCTTCTTCAGGTCCAGAGATAGCACTTCCAAAGCAGCCTTCTGCATCTCCCGTTGCTTCTCCAGTTCCTGGATATTTCCCCGCAGAGCCTCCATCTCCCCTTCCCTTTCGGATAGGGTCTGGGCCAGGATAGCTAAATTCTCCTGCAGAGCCTTCCCATGGGCCACCTTCAGCTCGCCCTGTTCCTGCAGAGCCTGGGCTCGCTCACGCTCAGTCTCCACTTCCTCGTTCTTGAGTTTCAGGGCTGAGCGAGCAGTTCTCAGGTCCTCCTCCAGAGCCCCGGCAGCATTGGCCTGAGCCCTGGCTTCCGCCACAGATGCCTGCAGACGTTCCACCTGTCCTGTCAGGTTCTCCTTGGCTGCCTGCAGGAGCCCTCGCTCCTTCTGGAAAAGAAGACGAAAAACCACCTTAGGCTACACTTCCCGGATACTATCACCCCAGTGCAGGCCCTTCGGTAGCCCCAGCCCCGTCAAGGAGGGACAAAGAGAACTGGTTCCTTCCACTTAAGCTGATCCAGTAAAAGATCGTCCCTACCGCGTTCCACAGCTCCACTAGGGCCCAGAGGAGAAAGCCTGAGACAAATGAGAAATCCCAGACTCCGGTCCTTCAGGGCAAGGGACAAACTTTTCTGCCTCCCTTCAGGAAAACTCGCTGGGGCCTTCCTAATGGCCCTCAAGGACAGCGAGACAGCCGGGGAAACAGCCCCTTGCTGAAGGATGTCGGGCACTACCCGTGGATGGGGTATGACCAAAGGCCCAGGTGGCTTTGGAGTTACAGCCTGGGCCCTGAGGCCTCCTCCTCCTACCCCGGAGCAGGGTCACCTCACCTGGGCCTCCAGTCCCTGCAGCTCTGCTTGCCGCAGACGACCCTGCAATGATGCCACAGCTTCGTGCAGCTCCGTCAGCTCGGATTCCAGCGAGTTCTGCTTTCCTTCCCACTTGCATTTCTCTTTGGGAAGAGGGGAGGTGGCAGAGCAAGGCCCAGGGTGGAGGGCGGAGGAAAAGAGGGACATGGAGGCAGATGGAGGGTGAGGAACAGAATCAAAGGGGAAGAAGGCCAGGAAGGAGAGAATTACATCCAGTCTCACAGCCACGCCACCCATCTGCCAACTATTCCTGGTTGTCGGGGCTCCTGCGACTCCCACACTCCCGTCCGGAGCCGCCGCCCGGTGCTAGCACTTGCCTAACTGTCCTCCCAACACTGCCCCATCCCGACCACCTGGAGATCTCCAACCCCGGATTCCCGACCGGGGGGAGCCAGATGACACTGGAGGGCCTTTCTAGTCTCTAATTCTATGGCTTGCAGAGGTTCCCAGAGACCACTGTTGCTCTGCTGGCTGCCCCCCATTTCTGCAAAATGCACCAGAACCCAGCTCTGTGCGTGTGGCTCTCAGGGAGCCCTCTGGGATACTTTCAAGACCCAGATCCCCCTCCCCAAGTTGTCCTCTTCTCTTCTACCACAGAGCCTCGGCCCCCAAGACCCGCCGTCTCCTTTCTTTTGCCAAGTAGTCACCACCCATGCCCTTGGCTGTGGCGGGGCGGGCATTCTCCCCAGGTCCCCCCACTTTGCTGTCTCCCAAACAAGCCCATGATCCTTCTGCTGTTGAAGGTGAATAATTTTGACAACATAGCTGGAGATGACAAAAATAAGTAACATGGATAAATGACAAAAGACACAGAATTTTATAACATTCTCACAGTCCTGGCCCTAGATTGCCAGTTTTTTAATACACAGACAGAGAAGGGGGAAGCCTAGGCAGGAACTTCTCTCGGTTCACCCACTCTGTCCCCCTGAATTCCTTCTTCTAGGATGGCCCTCAAAGGCCAAGCAAAGCAGAAAAACAGTTCACAGGGGTCATCACCCCTTTGGAGAGGTCTCTAGGTAGCTACCTATAGTTGGGAGTGAGCAGTGAAGAGTGGCTGCCCCTTCTGGGCTTCCGGCCTCTCCTCTCTCTTCCCTCCAATCTCCCTACCTGCCTTGCGCTTCTCACCTTCCTGGTTCTGGGAGAGCTGTCTCTGCAAATCCTGCAATTCTGTGCAGACCTGACTTTTTTCGGCCTCTGCATCAGCGAGACGCTGTTCCAGCTTCAGAGCCTGCTCACTCAGGTCGTCCTGGGAAAGGAAGGGTGAGGCTAAACTCCAACCTCCTCATCTTCCACAAAGCTATCCCGGCCCCAGACCCAAGCGCCACCCCTCCCACTTCCTCTCAGCCTCTGTGGGGTCTGTCCCTGCGGATCTACTCCCAGATCGCTCCCCAGAACCATGACACGCTCTGCTCCAACTGACTGGAGCCTAGAATCCCTGTCTGACCCCTGTATGCCTTTTGAAACACGACTTGCTGGAGTCTTAGCCCGGGGTCACCTCTCCTCTGCCCAAACTCCTACTTCAAAGATCAACTCAAAGGTCCCTTCTTCCTTCCCTGTGACCCTCCCCAAGGAGGAATGAATTGTCCCTTCCTTCTATTATCATCAGTTGCATCTGTTACTGATCCAATTAATTCTATCAGTTCTGCTTATTTTAGAATGCAGTTTCTTTCCTCAGCCTTCTCGAGGGTGGAGATCTGGTCTTTCTCCCTTCTGTACCATCAGCTCACAGTGGCTGGCATAGAGGTGGTGTTCAATTTTTACTGAATGATAGGTACACCGAGAGGTGGAATTTATGGGATATTTAGCTCAGTCTTAGGCCTGGAATGTTCCTATAAATGGCAACCTCACATCTCAGTGGTCCCTGTTTGTCGGGTTGTTCTTGGAGGTATTGGCACCAAGGATAAGTAATTCGCAGCTGAGAGGAAAATGGTACAAAACAATATCCCCCATCTGTGCAGGCTTCTGTAGTTCAGAGCCCACTCGAATCCCTCACCCACTCAATCCTCACAACCCCAAGGCAGGCATGGTTTGCCTCAGTTGACTAGTGAAACACAGGCCTAAGAAACCAAATGCTGTGCTCATGCTTGCCCAGGTAGGAAAGGATGGGGATGGAACTCATCCCAACTTGGGAATAAAACAGCTCAAACTGCTTCATGAGTCCTCTTCTGGGGAGTGAAGAGTTCAAGGAAGGAGAGCGGAGCATCGTACCCGGGCCTGCTGAGTCTTCCACAGGTCTTGGTGAAGCTTCTGGAGGGCAGATGCCACCGCCTCAGCTGACAGGGCTGTCAGGAGGGGCCCTTTCTTAAGGAGGAGCCTAGCTCCATTCTGGTCTGAAAAAATGAGGAAACACCTCCTCACTTGGCTGCACTCTGAAAGGAAATAGCCAAACCTCCCCAGATACGGCCTTGGCCTTCCCACGGATCCCTCCTCTCCCCAAAGAACCCCTTCTGAGCAGTTCATTTGTCATCAACTTTCTGCATTCCTATGTGCCAGGAGCTATGGCGGGCATTAGGTAATACTAGCTGTCATTTGTTAGGCATTTAGTAAATGCCAGGAACTGTGTGACCTATTTTACTTATGCAATCTCATTAATTCCTTAGAAAAATCCTGAGAGATGAGGCACCTGGGTGGCTCAGTTAGTTAAGTGTCTCACTCTTGATTTCAGCTCAGGGCGTGATCTCAGGGTCATGAGATCGAGCCCCATGTCGGGCTCCGCGCTCAGTGGGGAGTCTGGTAAGATTCTCTCTCCCTTTCTCTCTGCCCTTCCCCTGCTTGTGCATGCACGCTCTTTCTTTCTAAGAACAAAAAATCAAGCTCAGAGAGGACTGAATTAATTCCAGGGTCTGTGGCCTTAGCCTTGAGGCAATAATCCCTAGTCCCCGCAGGCCCCCGCCTTCTCCCCCCGAGGGAGCCAGGCCTGGCTTCGGCCCAAAGGCCTGAGTCCATGGGTGGCCGCCGTACCTGGCTCAGGGCCCCAGAGGGAAGCAGAGTCTCCCCCACCGCGCAGCTCAGGCTGGCTGTCCCAAGCGAACCCCAAGGCCTGCTGCAGGACAGAACAGAGGCTGGCCAGCTGGGCCTGGGCCTGGTGCCCAGACCGCCGCTCTGCCACCAGCGCCTCTAGCTGCTTCTCTGTGCTGTGCAGTCGGAGCTGGACTTGGGCTGCCCTGGCTTCCAGGGCCCGCAGGGAAGCTCGCAGCTCCTGCTCTGTTACTCGAGACGCCTCCAGCTCCTCCAGCAGCTGTGCTTCCTGAGCCAGAAAGTCAGCCTCCTTCTCCTTCACCTCCTGCTTCAGGACCTCCACCTGCCAGGAAGGCAGTGTTGTCATTCCGAGCCGACACCTTCTCATCGGACCCTCCCCGGCCTCACCCCAATCAAGCCCTGGGCCCATCTTGATCAGGGCCGGGAGGCTCAGCTCTCTAGCGGGTAAGGAGGGCTCTGGAAGGGGGCACCTGGGTGGCTTAGTCGTTGGTCGTCTGCCTTCGGCTCAGGTCATGGTCCCAGGGTCCTGGGATCGAGCCCCACATCGGGCTCCCTGCTCGGCGGGAGGCCTGCTTCTCCCTCTCCCACCCCCCCTGCTTGTGTTCCCTCTCTCGCTGTGTCTCTGTCAAATAAATAAAATCTTTAAAAAAGAAAGGAGGGCTCTGGAAGGAGTGTTACCCTCAATCTGACCTGCATGCCCACCAACTGACTCCTGTCACGTGGGCCTAGGAGATGCAAATGGGCTGTAGCCCTAGTCCCCCTGGCAGCAATGCCAGCCCCCTGCTTCCATCAGAACTCGAACTCAGAAATCGAAACCCTGACACTGAGCCTGCGTAAGACCCGTCACGATAATGGCTACCATATAGAGAATACCCGCTGTGTTCTGACACTTTATATGTTCCTATAATGGCTAAGAACTGTCATCCTTGTCTTATGGATGAAGAAACTGATGCTCACGCAACCTGGAAGCGGGATTGCTGGGAGCCAGATCCAGCACTGTCTAATGACTGCACCTGGTCCTTCTCCACGCTAGTCTCCCTTCCAGCTCTGACCGGCTCTCTCTGCCCCTCCCAATTCCGGCTTTCCTCTGTGCCCAAGGTCGGGGGTCCTGCTGTGAGCAGACGGGGTCCTGAAGTTTTCTTGCTGCTGCCTACCTGATCTGTGTAATGACCTGTCCCGCTGCTGTGTCTTGCCAGGCTGACCAAGCACACTTAGACGTGGCCATGCTTGACCCAGGCCCGTGTGAGCTCCGCCCCTCTAGGCACCATGTTCTGGGCTGTCAGGCCCCTCACAGGGGCTGTTCTCAACTCTGGGTCAGGTTCCCAAGCCCCCACCCCACCCAGTTCTGACTTGCGCCTCCTGCCAGGGCTGCTGAAGCCCCAGCACACCCTATAATACGCAATAAGAGAACGGTCCTCTTTACGGGAGGATCCTGAGCAACTGGCTTCTCCACTCCAGGAGCAAGCTTCCACCGAGGAACGGGGCCCATGAGCGGCGTGGGGAGTACCTGGGCACTGAGCTCTTTCTGCCCTCCCTGGGCCTCCTGCATGTCCTGGCGCAGGGAGCTCAGCTCTTGTTGTCGAACAGAGTCAGCTTCTTGTAAAACAAGGAGCCTCTGTTCCTTTTCCATCAGCGACTGAGTCAGGCTAAAGAGAGGCCAGAGGGCTAAGGTCATTCTCTCAGGGAATGAAGAACTACTTTCTCATGCTAAACACTGCATTAATACTTAAGAGAGAAATAGTAAAATAACATGACAGCATAACAATGAAAGTGCTCCCAGGTACTTCATGCACGTGATACCTCCTTTCAGCTTCAGTTTCTTCTTCTCTGGCAGATTCCAGAAATACGTATGCAATACCTCAAATTCAACGTGTCCAATGCTTCCCATCCCTTCTGCTCCTCCCTCCCCCCAGTCATCACTACTATGCTCCCTAGCTCAGCGAACGGCACCCTTATCCACCCAGTGCTCCAACTTGGCAGCCTTGACCACATCACAGAGTTCTCCCTTTACCCCACCTATGTCCAATCAGTGATGACATATATAATAGACTCCAACTCTTTCAACGTCCCTTGAGCTCCTTCCCTCCTCCCCCTACCCTGGTGCAGCCTTAGTATTTCTCAGGCAGACAACTGCACCCACCTCCTAACATGTCTTGCTGCCCATGGTTGCATCAACGAGAGGATCTGTTCCTCTTTAAGCTCTTACATCACTGAGAAGACACGCCATGCTTCACCTGGATGGCCGTATCTCACTCCTGAGGTTTCTTGCCCATCACTACCTCTTCTGATACATCATAAACTGGATCGTGTCAATTTCCCTGCTTAAAACCCTCCAGTGGTTTCCTACTAAACCTAAACTAAACTACGTACTCCTGGCCGTGCCCCACAAACCCTGAATGACACAGACTTGCCCAGGTCACACACCCGTCCTCATTCACCAGGCTCTGGTCACACAGTGCTTCCAGTGTCCCCAAATACCCTGAGTTCTGATCCGCCTCTGGCCCACTGAGATTCCTGCTCCTGCCACAGAGCTCTCCCTCACCCCTTTGCCTGGCTGGTTCCAGTTCATCTTCAGTGATCAGTTTAAATGCAACCTCCTTGAGAAAGGCCTTCCCTAAAATCTTACCTAAAGTACAACCCCATGGGATGCCTGGGTGGCTCAGTCAGTTAAGTGTCTGCCTTTGGCTCAGGTCATGATCCCAGAGTCCTGGGATCGAGTCCTGCATCGGGCTCCTTGCTCAGCGGGGAGCCTGCTTCTCCCTCTGCCCCTCCCCCTGCTTGTGCTCTCTCTCTTCCTCTCTCTCTGACAAATGAATAAAATCTTTAAAAAAAATAAATAAAAATAAAGTACAACCCCACTCTGCATTTTGACTTCAGCATCCTGTTTCTTCCCTCCACACCATGTAACATAACCTGCAATGATTTCTCTGGGGGATTACTTAATTAACGTCTTCCCCACAAAACCATAAGTTCTGCCAAGGCGGGGGGGCCATCCCCAGCCCCTGGCATACTGCCTGGTGCCTAACATGTGTTCTCTAAGTATTTATATACTACATGGATGAAGTGTAAGCTACGGGGACCACATCCTCTCCACACAGCCACCTGTACTGTCCAGGGCTGGAGACATGAGAGGCTTGGTTACCTGAGTAAAGAACTGTCCACCTCACAGTGACCACAGTAGCTAGACAGGCAAAAGCCTACTCCACGGCCTGTCCAGCCTACCTGGCTTTCTCTCTCTCCAGCTCCTTCTGCATTCGGCTATACTCCTGGGCCTCCCTCAGCTTCTCCTGAACCTCCTGCTCCACTAGCCTCCTGGATTCATCCCTGGAAACCAGCTGAGACTTCAAGTCCTCCACCTGGAAAGAAAACGCACGAGGGTCAAGGACAGGGGGCCCGCGGCGGGGAGGCTTCTCACCCAGGGCTCCAGGGTCCTTTGAGGTCCCAGTCACTGGCCCATTTCCAATGCTCCGGGGGTTTCCGCCAACGCTTACACACTATTCTTAGCACCCCGTCCCCAGTACCATTCAGCCTCACCCTTGTCTCCCAGTCTCACGCCTGCTGGGTAAAGGCAGGCACAAATCAAAATCTTGGCTGAATATAACCACCCAAAGGCAAAGTGATAAGTGATGGGCAAGTGGACAGTAATTGTATTTTTTAAAATAAACAATCAGAGGGGCGCCTGGGGGGCTCAGTCGGTCGAACGTCTGTGTTCAGCTCAGGTCATGATCCTAGGGTCCTAGGATCAAGCCCCGCATTGGGTTCCCTGCTCAGCGGGGAGCCTGCTTTTCCCTTTGCCTGCTGCTCCCCCTGCTTGTGCTCTCTCTTTCTGTCAAATAAATAAATAAAATCTTAAAAAAAAAAACCAATCAGAACACCAGCTGATATGGGATTCTGAGAAGGAAAAGCAATGAGAGTAGAAAAAGCAACCTGGTATATTAAAATACTGGATCCCTGGGGAGGGTGGGAAGAATGATGGGCACTGGGGCTGCCTACGAAAAATCTAAGTTCTGTGGTCACACAGGGAGAGATAACTATCCCGGGGCTCCAAGGGCATGTGCCCTACTCTAACCACCCTTCCGTTTTCCTCTCCTTCCCAAGCAGGGCCAGGGCTCCCCTTTCCTACAGAAGGAGCGAGAGAGCCTGGCTATGCTGCGGGGAGGGCTGCAGGGCTGGGAGAGAGGAGGCACCTGCTCCTGCAGGTCCTTCTTAGCCTGCTGCAGGGCCCTGCACTCTTCTTGGAGGGCAGCAAGGGCGTCTCTGTTCCGCTGGCCTGCCTGCTCCAGCTCCCGCCGAGCCTCCCGGAGCCGGGTCTGCAGCATCTCGGTGGTCTCCTGCAAAGGGAGAAGACCACAGTGAGCAGAAGAAAGCTCCCACTAGGGCCTGCATCTTAAAGTCTCTGTCATGTAAATACTGGCTTTTCAACTGGGTTGGCGGCAAAAGCTGAGGCAGGACCCAGCAATCCACCCCGTTTCCACGATGCCACCTCAACCCTCACCTCCTATTCCATCTCCTCCCTCACAAAGCGTGCTGGCTCACCCCGGCTCTCTCCATCAGGGCCCCTGAGTAGCAGTCCCTCACCCAGACCACTACAGCAGGCTCCCATTGCGTATCCCTATTCCCACTCCATGCCACCAGCCCCTGCACGCATGCCCCCCCAACACACACACTTCTCCACTCAGCAGCTAAAGTATTTTTTAAAATACATGTAGTAAATCATGTCCCACTCTGCTTTTTAAATACCATCCAACAGCTTCCCAATGCCCTTAGAACAAATTCCAAGCTCCTCCCATGGCTGACCAAGGGCTCCTGGGCTCCTGCATCCCTCTCCACTCGCCCCTGAGCCTATCACGCTGGAGCCATGTAGCCTCCTTTCTGTCCTGGCACTCCCCGAGACCCTTCTGTCTGTCCCACTGCCCTTATGATGGCTATTTCCCCTGCTGAAACTGTTCTTCAAATAGTTGGCTTTTTTTTTTTTTTTTTAAAGGGCTTTCCTAAGGGGCACCTGGGAGGCTCAGTTAGTTAAACATCTGCCTTTGGCTCAGGTCATGATCCCAGGGTCCTAGGATCCAGCCCCACATCGGGCTCCCCACTCAGTGAGGAGTCTGCTTCTCTTTCTCCCTCTGCCCCCCACCCCCCGCTCATGCTCTCTCTCTCTCTCTCAAATAAATCTTAAAAAAATAAAAATAAAAGAGCTTTACTGAGATACAGTTCAAGTATCACACAACTCACCCGTTGAAGCATAATGCTGTCAGAGCTCATCTCTACTGCTGCCTGCAGCTGGCTCGTCAACCTTCATGTCTCGGCCCAAATGTCACTTTCTCAGTGAGCCCCACCCCCGACCACCTTGTTCAAAGTGGCCTCCTGTGACTCACTCTCGATTACTTCACCCTACCCATCTCCCTCACAGCACCTCTTACCACCTGCGATTAGCTCATGTATTCTCTATCTGCGTGTTTTCGTCTGCTCTGCCACTAGAACGCAGGCTCTCTGAGGACAGGGACCACGGGTGTCACGTTCCCTGCTGTGCACACCTTGATGTTTGTCCTGGCACGGCACCTCGCCCAGAACCTGGTGCACAGAAGCACCAGAGGGCTGGTCACGCCACCCTTCCTCCCTGCCCGGGACCGCCCTCCATACCTGCTCCTTTAACTTCTGAACCTTCATGTCCTGCCTCAGCCGCTCCAGCTGTTGGCTGGCATCTGCCAGCTCCTTCTGGGTCTGCAGCAGCGTCTCCAGGAGGGACACCCTCTCCTTCTCTGTTTCGAGCTGCATCTGTGGAGGGGCAGGGAGGCAAGGGCTTGCTGCCTCCGGGGTCACCACACTCACCCACTAGGCCGCAAACACATTCTAGCTGCTCTGGGCTCCTCCAGCAAAAGGGGAGGGTGGTGAGGGCCAAAGAAGGTCTGGACCTGCTTGTTAAGAACCAGGAAGTGCCAAGATTGTCCCTGGTTTGTGAGCTGACAGGATGTGGCGAGCACCGGCCCTCCCTCAGGAAGTGTGACATGCTGTCTGCCCTGCAGCTAACGCGGGGGCCACCCTGTTCACTAGCAGCAAAGGGAGCAGGCACTTCTCTTCTGGAAGCCCCCTGCAGCAGCACCCCTGGGAGTGGAAAAGGAAGTGGTCAGAGGTACAGGGAGTCGCAGCTCCAATCTCCCCAGCTTCCCACCTGGCAGAGGGCGCTCTCCGCCTCCGCCCGTTCTTCCTCCCTCTGCGTCCGGATGGCCTCGGCTTCTGCCCGCTGTTCCCGCAGCCTCATTTCCAGCTCTGTTTTCTCCCTCTTTAGGCTCTCCAGGGCCTTGTCCAGTTCCTGCCGGTGCCAGGAGCGCTCCTTCTCCTGGTCATGTGAAGGAAGCACTGTTAGAACCCGGTGGGTGAGGAGAAGAGGCAGGAGAGGGGCTGGAGCAGAGAAGGTCCACACTCCCCAGCTAAGTCTTTGGTACCTCTCTTGGCCAGTCTCCCCATCGATTAAGTGAGGTTGCTAACTCCTGCCTTACCTATCTCATCAAATGTCATGAGAATCAAATGAGATTTTTAAAAAAAAATCAAATGATACATTAAAAAGTCTTTTCTCAAGTGCAATTCTCCCTAATATAAGTTACAAATATCTGTTATTTTAAATCAATCACACCACAGTTGATGTTATAACTATGAACTGAGGAAGCAGATTGGTTCTCTGCTGCCCATTCTCCCCTACTTTAGGCACATAATTCCCAAACAAGCAAACTTCCGGCTGCCATCTTTCCAGCAAGTCTGCCTTGTAATAAAGAGTCAAATCACAAATACGCACAAGGCACAAGTCAACTTCCATTTCTAGAAACTTGACAAACAAGATCTCTGAACCCTCTGGCTGCAAAATGGCAAAAAATACTGGATAAAATATTAAATATATGTTTTAATGTATAAGTGAGCCAGCAGGAATTTCACAGGAGTTAAAAATCAAAGCAAGAGGGCGCCTGGGTGGCTCAGTCGTTAAGCGTGTGCCTTCGGCTCAGGTCATGATCCCAGGGTCCTGGGATCGAGTCCCACATCGGGCTCCCTGCTTGGCAGGAAGCCTGCTTCTCCCTCTCCCACTCCCCCTGCTTGTGTTCCTGCTCTCGCTATCTCTCTCTCTGTCAAATAAATAAATAAAAATCTTAAAAAAAAAAAAAAAATCAAAGCAAGACTTGTGACCCAAAGAGGTAAATGAGCACAGAACTGGGTTTCTCCTGGAGGCATCTGCTATACCTAATAACCTTGAAAATTCACCTTAATGCTACGTGGGGAAAAGAAAACATAAGACAAGGGTGGGGAGTCCAGTAGAAGATTCCCACATAAAGCTGGACCCCTGAAGGGCTAACCATGGGTCAACAAACTATGGCATGTGGGCCAAATCTGGCCAGCCTCCTGTTGCTGCATGGCCTGTGAGCTAATAGTGGTTTTTACATTTTTAATGGTTAAAAAGAAGTGGAAAAAAAAAAAAAAAGACTTTGTGACATGTGAAAATTATATGGAATTCAAGTTTCAGTGTCCACACTTAAAGTTTTATTTGAACACAAACATGCTCATTTGCTTACATATTGTCTACGGCTGCTTTTGTACAACAGCAGAGACCATAAGGTCCACAAAGCCTAGCACGGGGCCCTTTACAAAAAACTTGCCTATCTCTGGGCTATAGTGCTCTCAGTAGAAGGATAAACTTGAGAGAGAGAGAGATGAAAGAGGAGAGGAATGGGGAAGAAAAAAGGAGAGAAAGTAGGAGAGAAAACAAAACAATAAACCCCACAGAAGGAAACAGCAAGAACATTTGTTTGTTTCAACCTTGGCACAGGGTAAAAAAAAAAAAATCTCCCTCAAGAAGTCAACCACAACCTGGTCTTCATGTGGGTGCAGGGCCTAAATGTGACCCCAAACACTTTCAACAGAAATTTTACTTCATTTTATTTTAAAATTTTATTTTAAGGTAGTTCTGGGATGCTAGAACCTTTAATCCAACACTACTAGTATAAGTGACCTGAGTTAATTTCTATCATATTTCTATGCCTCAGTTTCCTCATCTATAAAAATGGGGATGACAACAGTGTCCTCCTCTTATTCTAGGAAATTCCTAACAGAAATGCAAGCAAATCTTCTGAAGAAAAACTCCTTCACCTTAGGCCTAAAAGGATTCTGAGGCCTTAGAAAATGAAAAGTTCTTAGGCCTTAGAAAAATTTCTAAGGAACACGAGCTCAGAGTCAAGAATCACAAAACACATGAGTGAGAACCAATGGAAACAACATATAACAGAGTCAGGCCCAAATAGATTTTAGTTATTGGTATTATTAGACAGCATAAAAATGTTTCATGTGTTGAAAGAATAAAAGAGAGGATGAAGATATAAAATAGGGAAAAGAGATTAAAACATGACCAAGAAGATTTGAAAAAATAATCAAATAGAATGTCTAGAAATAAAAAAAAATTTAGTAAGTGAAATTTAAAACTTGGCAAAAAGACTACATAGCCGATTAGACATGGCTGAAAGGTGAGTTAGTGAGAAGAGATCTGAAAAAATCATCTACAACACAATATAGAAAAAGAAAAATGAACATGAAAAATGTAAGAGTTAAGATACACGGAGGTTACCGTAAGAAGGTCTGACACACAACTAATCAGGGTCTTCTTGATACCAACAAATGAATAATCAATATGTTAAGAGAAAATAACAATAATCCTAAATTTTATACCCAGTGAAACTATCCTTCAAGAATAAAAGTAAAATGGAATGTTTTCAGACAATGAACTACCAACAGACCCTCACCAAAGAAATTCTATTTCAAGGAGGAAAATAAATCTAAATAGAAAGTCTGATATGCAAGAAGGAATGATGAGTGTAAAAAAACGTCATTTTTTCAGTGTATCTAAACAAATATTGATTGTATAAAACAAAAAGTCAAAATAATTTATGGTGTTAACAAACTAGTTAAAACACATTGCATAAAAGAGTATATGGGTCAGGAGGAGCGAATGTAGGTAAAATGTTCTGAGGTCCCTGTGTCATTCAGGAAAATGGTAAACATACCGATTAACTTGAGATTTTATTAAGTACGTATTTTTTTGTAAAGATTTTATTTATTTGACAGAGAAAGAGAGAGCACACAAGCAGGGGGAGTGGCAGGCAGAGAGAGAGGGAGAAGCAGGCTTCCCACAGAGCAAGGAGCCCGACACGGAGCTCGATCCCAGGACCCTGGGAACTGAGCCGTCCATGCGCCCCTTAAGTACATATTTTTAAATATTAAAAGAAACAACTAAAAAAAATTTAAAATTAGAGAATATACCATCCAAAGTAATAGAAAAAAAGAACTGAGAAAAGACTACAACTTAATCATCCAATTGAACTCTCTAAAAGAAGTTAAGAAAGGTGACTTCCCCATCCCAAAAAGATATAAAAAGGCAGGAAAAATAGCAAAGGATGGTGGAAATAAATCCAAATATACCTATAGTGACAATCAAAGCAAATGGACTAAATTATATAATTAAAAGACAAAAGAAATACAGTTCTGAATTGGGCAAGAAGGGGTCCGAGGCATTCCTCTGCTCCCTTTACATCCTGGGGCCAGTTTAACAATCCTAAATCCCAGAATCCATGCTTAATTCTCTGCACATAGCAAAACAACAACAATAACAGCTAACACAAATATAGAGCTTGCTCTCTGTCAGAAATTGTTCTCAGGGTTCTCCATATATTACTCATTTACAGCTAGAAACTGGATTTTTGCATCTTGGTGACTAGGTTAGTCCTATTCAGATTTCACTCTTAAAAGCAGCAATATCTGGCCCAAGAGTCAGCACGTGGAGTACTCACGGGAGGGAGGCCATGTCTGCCTCTCCTGTCCCCAGCCACATCCATGACCCACCCATTTCTCCTGGAGCCGGTTCACCTCCTCCTCATGGGCGGACTTCTGCTGCTGCAGGGCAGTCTGCCCCTCTTGCTCAGCCTGGGCCAGCCGACTGGATGCTGTCTCCCGCTCCTGCTCTGCCCGGCTCCGCTCGGTGTCCAGTTCCAGCTTTAGGCACCTCACTTCCCCTGAGATGCCAGACACAGGTGATCTCGCACTAGGCCTCTGCCCTCCTCCTTTCACCCCTCTCCCCAGGTCTCAGGAACAACTCCCATTGCCGAGGCCCTGGGCCTGGCTAGGGAAGGACCTCAGATAACTTCCCACTGCCTTCCTGGCTTTCCACATCCCCATGGAATGAAGTGTCCCCATCCCAGTTGGGGTCTCACCTTGAATGACTTCCTTGGCGCGAGTGACCGTTTGAATCTGGACCTCCAGCTGCCCCTTGGTGACCTCTATCAGAGAATTTTGTTGTTGGGCCTCAAACAGACTGCTCTCCAGTTGCTCCTTGGCTGAACTGTCAGGTTCAGGAATCAGGAAGAGTTCTTACCCATCAAGCCCCTTAACTTTCCTTAAGAGGAGTTGGGTTCTAAGTACTGACTACTCAGAGAAATTAGGTGGCAATTATACACTCATAACTCATTTAGGACCCATATACTTTGGGCAGGGAACTCAGTTTGGCTACCCCTTGCCTCACAATGCTCCCTCTGCCCTTGGCCTAACTGGGTCTGGGCCCTACCTGAGCCCCAGTAGTTGTTCAGAGAGGTCCTGCCGGTCTCGCTCCACAGCCTGCAGCCGCACCTCAAGGGCTGCTCTCTCCCGTACTAGGGCCTCCTTCTCCTGGACTTCCCGGGCAAGCACTTCTTCCTGTCGCTTTGTCTCCTGATGCAGCTGCTCCAGCTGAGCTAAGGCTGCCTCCTGCTGATGACGTGCCTGAGAGGAAGAAATCGGCAAGATACAGAGCGGAGGCAGGATCTCCCCCCGGTTGCTATCAGCAGGTTAGGGCCACTGGCCCTTCAGAGGTTCTGGACCCAGCTCTGTGAGTCCTGATGATTGCTTGCTCATACAAATACTACTTCCTGCATCAACCTATAGAACTTCCAGCCCAGGAAGCATGCTCTCCTTTGTGCAAGACCCTGTGTGTTAGGGCTGCAAGAGAACTACCTCTAAGGAGCTTTTAGTCCTAAGTAGTAAGACACACAAAACATCAGGAAGAAACTGATCAGTCTCTGAGAAAGGGACTCTGGGAAGGAAGATTATCATTTTTAGGGCAGGGAGAAGTTTGGTAGAGGAGAAAGATGACCTTTGAGCTGAGTCACTGGTTCAGAAAAAAATTTACTGAGTTGTTGCTATGTGTTAGACATTCTGGTAAAAGATGGAGGAATAGGGGCGCCTGGGTGGCTCAGTCGGTTAAGTGTCTGACTCTTGGTTTCACCTGAGGTCATGATTTCAGGGTTGTGAGACTGAGCCCCACATTGGCTCCGGGCTCAGTGTGGAGTCTGCTTAAGTGTCTCTCTCCCTCTCTCTCTGACCCTTTTTTTTTTATTTTTTATTTTTTAAAAGATTTTATTTATTTATTTGACAGAGAAAGACACAGTGAGAGCAGGAACACAAGCAGGGGAAGTGGGAGAGGGAGAAGCAGGCTTCCTGTGGAGCAGGGAGCCCAATGCAGGGCTTGATCCCAGGACCATGGGACCATGACCTGAGCCGAAGGCACACGCTTAATGACTGAGTCACCCAGGCGCCCCTAGAGTTCTCACTTTTTATGATGAGTACGTTTGATACCTTAGTGTGATGGAATCAGTTTTGTCTTCTCACCTCACTTAGTTTCTCTTGAATTTCTTCCTTCTCTTCTTGGATGCCCCTGAGATCGGCCTGCAGCTCAGCCCCGCTCTCCTCCGCCTTCTGCAGCTGAGCCTCCAGGTGAGTGTTCCTTTCCTGAAGGGCTTCCCTGCTCCTCTCGGCCTCTGCCAGGCCCAGCTGCAAAGCGTTTCCTGCTTGCTCTGCTGCTTCCATTCTGCTGCACACACACTGGTTCTCCTGTTCTAACTACTGGTCAAAATGGGAAAGGCGTCAAGGACAAATGGTTACAGTTTATGGATCAAGTGCTAAGACAGAAATCCAAGTGAGATGAGACTCTATTCTCCAAAGAGGAACACAGGAGGGCCTTATACGAGAGGGGGACCATGCGTTCATTTGCTCTGGTGCCTGTCGTATTCTAGGTACTGGATGGGTTGATGCTGGGCATGGTGATTAAAAAGGCAAAAACCCTACTCTCAGAATTCAGAATAAAGGGAATCTGAAACATTTCTAGGGCTCAAGGTAACAGGAGTAGTGAAGAGACATGTTAAATTTGCAACCTCTAGAGAAGATTCTTTCAGAAAGGCTCTTCAGCAGATCCTTTTCTGGTGATTGCTGTTATCTCATGCAATGGGATTAAACACCTAGTCTTCCTTCCAGAGGACACGGGCCCTGGTGATTTTACTCTACAGCCCAAAGGTGGTTCTGCCGGAGGTGTGAAACGGGACTATTTTTAATGGCTAAGCTCAGGCCTTATAGTCTTGGCTGTCCTCTGCACCACCAATGTTCCTTTTGCTCATTTCAGGACCATATGTGGGAGCTGATCTGTCTTGGGCTAATCTATTACGGACTCTCCCCTGTCATAGGCATCAGCTTTATCAGTCACTGGCTTGCCTTCTGTCAGGGCGCAGACCTACCCTGTGGATCGGAGAAGTCTTTGCTCACCTGGAGAAGCTGCTCATTCAATCCAACTTTATCTAAGGCCAAAGCCTCATTTAAGGCACTGAGCTTGACAGCGGCAGCCCGAAGATCGGCGACCTCGGCCTTCAGGCTGTTCTCAGAACTCGACAGCTCTGCAACGGACTGTTCTGCCTAAAAACAAAGAGAGTTAAAGGACTGTCTTGTGCCAGCTCCCTCGCTACGGTGAGCAGCTCACGTCCCCAGCACCTGCTGCTGTCCTGGTACAGAGATCAGACCATTCCTTCCCTTACATTCGAAACAAGTTTTCCCTCATTCATTCACTCATTCAATCATCGAGAAGTAGGAGCGGAGCTCACAGTACAGAAGCACAGACACCAGGATGTACCAACAACTAGAACTGCAATGACTTCGTAGACAATGTAAGCACCCAGTGCTCTGGAAACTCAAAGAAAGCGTTTATTCAGTTTGGGAGAATCAAAAGTGCTTGGTAGAAGAGCTGGCAATGAAGGTGGGTATTGAGAGAGGAGGAAGAATTTGTGCTTAGAGGGAGAGGAAAGACGCAGTCCAGGCAAAGGGAGGAGGACTCCAGAAGCAGCAGAGTCATGAAAGAGCAGGGCGAAGCTGAGGATGTAATCAGTGCTGGGTGGCAGGAGCTGAGGTGGAATAGGGAGTTAGCACAGGATATGGAGAGAGGAGGAGGCTGGAAGCAGTTTGGGGCAGATGCAAAGGGCTTTGAACGTGTCCCCAAGCAGCTCGGAAGCCACTGAATGGTTACAGGAAGGAGGCCAATGTTACCGGATTTACACTTTCGAAAACCATTCTAACCCCAACGTAGAGAGTACATTAGGAGGGACAGAAGCCAAAAGCAGAGGCAAGTAAGTGATGCAGGGAATACGAAGGGTCGTGGCTGGGAAGGTGAAGAATGAAGCAGGCTGCATGCCCTTTGCCTAGAAACACAACTTTCTAAGCACCCCTCCCCACCCCCAGCAAGCGAGGGGTGGAGGCCCACGCACCCTGGCCAGCGCCGCAGTCACTTCTGTTTGCTCCTGCCTCAGCAGCTCTCCTTCCAGGCGACTTGCCTCCAGGGCCTCCCGAAGAGTGATCAGCTCACTGAGCGATTCTGACTGTTTGGCTTCCAGGCCCGCCAGCGACTCCTGACTAGGATAGGAAGGAGAGGAGGCTGGGGGCAATCTCAGGGAGTGGCCACACTCCAAAAGGTACAGGAGTGTGATGACCTTTGCCATGCAAAGGAATGAAGAAGGTCTCTAAAAACCAACCAACCCTCCACGACATACTAAGTGAAAAAAGCCAGACATTGGGAGAAATAAGAATATGCATAGGGGTGCCTGGCTGGCTCTGTCGGTAGAGCATGAAACTCTTAATCTCAGGGTCATGAGTTCAAGCCCCATGTTGAGGTGGAGCTCACTTAAAATAAAAAAAATAAAATTTAGTTATAAAAAAGAATATATGCATGTATTTGCATGAAGCAGCTGGAAAGATAAACAAGAAAGCAATTTAAGGGGCGGCTGGGTGGCTCAGTCGGTTAAGCGGCTGCCTTCGGCTCAGGTCGTGGTCCCAGGGTCCTGGGATCGAACCCCGCGTCGGGCTCCCTGCTCAGCGGAGAGCCTGCTTCTCCCTCTCCCTCTGCCTGCCTCTCTGCCCACTTGTACTCTCTCTCGATCTCTCTGTCAAATAAATAAATAAAATCTTTTTTAAAAAAAAAGAAAGCAATTTAAGTGGTTGCCTACAGAAGGAAGGGAAATGGGATGGATGAAACAGAGAGGAGGATCTCTGTGTTTGTCTATTATTTATTTAGTTAGTTTTTAGAGAAAGGAAGGGGAGGAGCAGAAGGAGAGGGAAGAGAGACTCTTAAGCAGGCTCCAATGCCCAGCGCAGAGCCCGACGCAAGACCCGATCTCACAACCCTGAAATCATGACCTGAGCCGAAAAGGTGCTTTAACCGACTGAGCCACCCAGGCACCCCTGTGTTCGTCTTTTTAAATAGTTTAAATAGTTAATAGTTTAATAGTTTTTTAAATAGTTTTGAATTTCAGATCATAATAAATATTGATAAATGTGTGCTCAATTCACACTAATTAAATTTAAAAACATATAATTATCTTTGTGGGTTGTCTATTCTTCTCCTTGGTACAGGGGAGACCATTCCTTGCATGAGTCATGATCCTTATAGCAGTCCTCCAAGATTCCATTATTCGTGCCTACCGGCTGCAAGGAGCAAGAGTGCAGGAGAGGATGGGGATCTACCAGAGGTGAAGAACACAGTCCCTGCTACCAGTTACTGAAGACCTACCACATGCCAGGCTCTATGCCAGCATTTTGCAAAACAGCGCTCTAACCTTCCCAGTGATCCTTCAAGGTAAATACTAACATTCCCATTTCACAACTAAAATAATCTGCCCAAGTGGCGGAGCCATAATTTTAACCAAGCTTTCGCCAGCTCAAAAGTCCTTGCTTTTTCTATGACACTATATAGAGGAATTCATAGATTCGCTAGGTCTCTTGATTCTGAAATTCCCTTTTTTTTTTTTTTTTGCGATCTCAGTCTTTAATGGCTGCAGGGCCTCCCACACCCAGGCCCGGTGCTCGGGCTCAGATCTTGCTGAAAGCAGCAATGTCGACACTCTGCACGTGCTCCTCGAACTTGGTGATCTCCTCCTCCAGCAGGTCGGTCCCCACTTTGTCGTCCTCCACCACACACTGGATCTGTAGCTTACGGATGCCGTAGCCCACGGGCACCAGCTTGGAGCCCCCCCAGGTCAGCCCGTCTAACTGGATGGAGCGCACGCAGGCCTCCAGCTTGGCCATGTCTGTCTCATCGTCCCACTGGGGGGTACAGGGGTGGAGAGGCTGGGTCAGGAGCCTGCAGACCCCAGGGAGTGTCCCCTGCTTCCCACAGAGCACAGCAGAGCAGGCAGCCCTCACAGGGCCCCGGGTGCGGCCTAGCCTGACAGCCCACTGGGACATGGGGCGGGGGAGAGGCGCGCCACTCACAGGCTTGACGTCCAGGAGGATGGAGGACTTGGCCACCAGCACAGGCTTCTTGGCCTTCTTCTCGGCATACTGCCGTAACCGCTCCTCGCGCAGCCGCGCTGCCTCCTTGTCCTCCTCCTCATCGCTGCCGAACAGGTCGATGGCATCATCCTCATCGTCCTCTGCGGCAGGGGCCGCCTTCCTGGCAGGGGGCTCCGCTTGGCGCATGGGGGACACGTGCTGCCATTGGGGAGGGAGGCTGAGGCCTGTGCCACCGGGGCCCCAGTGGGGGTGAGGGCCAGGAGCACCTTCTGCCGCCCGGCCCCCCAGTGCCCAGGCGGAGGGCCCCTGGTCTGAGAAGGGTACTCACCTGGGTCTGCGGGGCTGTGGCCCGATGGGCAGGCGAGCTCTTCTCCAGCACGCTCAGCCGGGCCTCCAGCCTGGAGACAGCCTGCTGCAGATCCTGCACCAC